ATAAATATTCAAATAATTAGAAAACATTATCATAATTATATTCTATATAAAAAATGCCCATGCCCATAAGATTTTATATCCAGGTTTTCCAAGGCTGAGGGAAGAAAAAAAAATGTAATTCACCTAAAAAGTTTTTTTATTTTTAGCTGTTTTAGCTTATTTTATTGCTTGTTTTGTATGATATAAATAATTGGTTGAGGACCACTGCCATAAAATCAATATGAAATAATAAGTTGATAAGAATCTTACTGAAGCCATAAATCTAACCCTTAAAATCATATTGCTTGATAGTAATTTTGGACCAAGGATGTTGATTCAGGAACATGTCCTACTTGCCAAAATCATGCTAGTCCTACACACAGCCGTATAGGAGCTTATGAGATCTGGTTCATTTAAAGGACAGAAGAACGCTGACAAAATGTGCTTTATGTATAATTCATTTGGTTTGTGGCTAGCCATCAGGAGGCATTTGTTTATATATGCAACTGTATGTTTATAAATGCTGGACGAATTCATAATATGGGAATTCCCTTCAGTGTCAGAATGTGTTTTATGTGGTGAGCCGGATTTACACTTCACATATGAACCATATAATCACGTTGCGTAAGTGGAAACATGGGCTTCCTCTGCTTGGGAAACTTCTTCGACTCGACTTTAGGGTGTTACTGCATACGCTGAAAGCTTGATATGACAAACACGCAGACGGAGGCGCATGAGGCCTGTAGTGCTGCTGTCAGTGTGCATGTGCATCAGTGTGATGAATGAATGCCGATAAGGTCAGTCTGCCCTTGGTGCTGTTATCAGGGACACGCTCGCGTTCGTCTGTCTCTCACCTTGGATGTGAGTTTTATCCAATATCTCACAATGCCTGTTCCTATAATAGCATCTGACCACCGGCGTCCAGCTGAAAGTAAATTATGATCGTTTAGTGCAGGACGGCGGGGTCTAGAAACAACAGGCTCCTGTAGTACATATATAGTGTATAAGCTGTCTTCCAAAACCCTAGTAAGCTGCCTTGCTGAAATGATCTTCATACTATAAGTGACTGAATTGTAATCTACATATGCAGCATCTCCGCTAATGAGTCTGGCTTTAGTTAATAGTGAGAAGCATAAAAAATGACCTAGTGCACCAAAATGTTGAGTAAAATATCTATACTTTTCGGTATTGAATGAAAAACTGTAATAAAATAATACTATATATGTGTGTGTGTATACAGGTACATCTCAATAAATTAGAATGTCATGGAAAAGTTT